GTTCTAGTTTTCAGGTCATGACCCTAACCGTTCGACTTTGTTAACGCAACCGATAAAGATAATTTAAAGATTAGTGTGCATTACTCTAATGCTTCATAATTGAACCTGGAAAGATCACGACTTAGCAGATTACCTCGGTAGGGTAAAGACAAAAAAAATAAATAAATCGGAAGTCAGGATACTTTCCAGAATTAAGAGCGGCAGGGCACATGTGATGGGTACGTGTAATGAGGAAAATAAAACGAAACTTCCAAGCAGTAAGAGACCAGATTGAAAATATGAAGAAGTGACGAGGAAGATAGAAGCAGCTGAAAATAAAGTCGGATCAGGAAATGACTGGAATAAAAATCAACTTTAAATGAAGCCTTGATTGTTCTGTCAGTTACCGAACCGGTAACAAACACTGCATGTATGATCATTAATCTAAATCATCTACCTATATCTATGTAATGGCCGGTTAAAAAAATCGAAAATATTTACAGAACTCAGTTTTTAGATATTTGATAAAGACCCGAGTTCCAGGTTTATGATGGTGTAACAGTCTTTGAACTATACTACACACACTACCATTTTGTATTTTACAACCGTCGTATCTGACGCAAGTGTTTGTTTGTTTTTGAATTTCGCGCAAAGCTACACGAGGGCTATCTGCGATAGCCGTCCCTAACTTAGCAGTGTAGGACTAGAGGGAAGGCAGCTAGTCATCACCACCCACCGCTAACTATTGGGCTACTCTTTTACCAACGAATAGTGGGATTGACCGTCACATTATAACGCCCCCACGGCTGAAAGGGCGAGCATGTTTGGTGAGGCGGGGATTCGAACCCGCGACCCTCACATTGCGAGTCGAGTGCCCTAACCACCTGGCCATGCCGGGCCATTGACGCAAGTGAGATTACTATTTTACGATTTCCCCAAAAATATTTCTTTGTTCTACTTTTACAAATTTAAAAATAATTTGTTTAGGAAATATGATATTTGAGAAACAGTGGCTGGTAAATTACAAGAACCACATACAGTAAGTTGTTGTTTCTTTCACAAGACGGTGAGTATTAGCATATTTTTAAATCTTTCAAAAAACTATGCATTCGTAATACTGCTTAAAACACAATAAATATGAGCAAGAAATCGTGGATTTATTTCTACACAAAATATAATAAATATTCTAATTCACCTTCTGTATTAAATCCATGCACGTAGGAAGGACAGGGTATTTCATGGAGGGTTCCTGCTGGAATATATGGCCAGCAGATGGCGCCATCCCAAATCATTGGACAGTAAAGACCTGAAAAACAGATTAGAAAAACCAAGTAAGCACAAAGCTACATAATGGGCTATCTGTGTTGTGCCCACCACGGGTATTGAAACCCGGATTCTAGCGTTGTAAGCCCTAAGACTTACCGCTGGCGCCAAGATAGTAAGAAACGTAGGATTGTTATGATATGTATATATAGAAATAATAAAGTATATCGCTAGAGTACGTGTTCTTCCCCTTAGTCACAAGTAATTAAATACAACTAGTTGTTGAATTACTTACAGAAACATTACATTCAGTTACTTTCTATGATTTGTTTTGAATTTCGCACAAAGCTATACGAGGGCTATCTGCGCTAGCCTTCTCTAATTTAGCAGTGTAAGACTAGAGGGAAGGCAGCTAGTCATCACCACCCACCGCCAACTCTTGGGCTACTCTTTTACCAACGAATAGTGGTATTGACCGTTACATTATAACGCCCCCACGGCTGAAAGGGCGAGCACGTTTTGGTGTGACGGGGATTCGAACCCGCGACCCTCAGATTGCGAGTCGAGCGCCCTAACCACCTGGCCATGCCGGGCCCTTTCTATGGTAAACAGCAAGAGAAGTTTTCTTTTTTTAACCTTTGAAAATATACAATGAAACAAGTATACATAAACATTTTGTTGAAGAATAAAAGATGGCAAAAAAAAAGTGTAAATACAAAAACACTGCATCACTAAACATTCCAGAAACCTTGCATCACTTAATCATCCTTGAAATGTGTATTTAGGAAGTGATTGTGTAATGTGTCGTATTTCTAGTCGAACTTCAGTGAGCACAAATTTTCTTCTGATTTTTGCGAGAAATTCGACTTTCCCCCCGTTTATTTTATAAATTATTTAGCAATTAATAACAAGCAGACTATTATTAGTAAAGTTCTGATAGGCATCAAACGTATGATTGCTCTCACTCTAAATTACCCCGGGCACGGTATTAGACTAGCCACCCAATCTTTCCAACGTTATGTGTTCATTAAGCCCGTGAAATTGTCTTTTCCAGAAAATTGAGGCCGTAGAAATTATTATTAAAATAAAGTAAATGGGGAAGTCAATTTATGGAGAAAATAACCCGTGGAAGATGACTATTTTGTTTGAAAGGTTACCTATAAGGCCTTCAATCCTTAATCCTCATTATTGCTGAAGTCTTAATAAGACGGAGATGAAAACATGGTGGTTTAGCAACGCTTCAGCATGATTAAAGTCTGTGTCGACATTGTGTACTAAATGTTATTACCTGATGATGTTTGTCGATCTTTTCGTCTGGATCCGAGCGATTAAACAAGACTCTGACAGTATATACTATAAACGTTAATATCCTCTCGCCAATAGTTGGTTGTTTGTTTTGTTTTCGATCGATAATTTACTTCGAGATAGTTAATGTACATAAAAGGTTTCTTTTTATTCAACATTTCTATACGATATCGATTTATTGCAGGCCTTATACTGATACTGTAGGCCTCGTCATCGGCGGCGTACGGTATACAAAATGTGCAGTTGAAACACTATTATATGACTTTTTCTGGAAAACTACGTAGATCTAGTAAAGAAAAATGTGCTTAAAATTTATATCGGTCGTATTCTTATCTAACATAACATAAAACACAGATCTATGACTCACGCTTCGCCAACATAGACTTTAATTACCATATTAATTGATTTACACTTGTTAGTTTTTGATTGTCCCGTGTTACGGCTATATTGAAAACCGTTAACTTTTTTCTTTCCTGATGTAAACACTGGAAGCTTCGGCCTCACAAAACCAAAGCTATTTTCTTTGGTCCGACTTGCCACAAGTTTCGTCCATGCTGAAATCCACTTCACTTCGATGTCCGACTTGACAACATTCATATTACCCTATCCAATACAGTTAAATATCTTGGAGTTTCCTTTGATCGCCATCTCACTTAGAAAGCACACCTGGCCATCCTATACACGAAAGTTAATTCCAGGCTTCACTCTACCATCGGCTGGAAGTTTTGGAACGCCACGCATTAGGCATAGCCTTTCAATTACGTCGATCATCACAACTCTTATCTCCGACGGATCATCTCCTGAACCTCTACCTAATGTTTTTTGCCACCTGATCATCCAGACTACAATGTAACTCCGATGCCTGATCTTCCACCACACATCTATCTCTGATTACGTTTCCTCGACTATATTGTTCAACAAATAATAACTCATAAAATATATTTCTTTGTCGACCACTGATAATTGCAGACTTTACTCCAAGACTATCTTCTACTCATTTTACCGAAATGGCCAATAAATGGAGGTTTATTATAATCTAAGAACGTGTTTCTTTAAGCTCACCGGTAGGTGAATAATTAAACGGCTTTAATTAATGTTTTTTTTTTTTACCTCACTGGTGAGAATATGGAGGATTAATTTAATCCAGGTATTTTGTTCTTTTACCTAATTAATAAGTGATTAATGGATCTTTAAAGTATTTTAATTGGTTGGCTAATAATTAGAGGGTCTGATCCAGTATAGAAATATTTTTATTTTAGACCATCCTGGCAGGCTATTTAATAGTGTGTTTTTTCAGTAAATAAAGTTTAATGATCGGGAAAAAGTACAATGATAGTCGAACATACAGGTTTCTGTTTTTAGCGATCCTCGTGATATATAAAAAAAAAGAGGCTTTTATAGGAGCCCTTTGTGTCATTAAGAAGAAATAGTTTTAGCAACTTTCGCATCATTTGTAAGAAGAAACCGTTTTTAGTAACTTTGGTTACATTGAGAAGAGACCGTTTTTAGTAACTTTGGTTACATTGAGAAGAAACTGTTTTTAGTAACTTTGGTTACATTGAGAAGAAACCGTTTTTAGCATTTCTGGTATCATTAGGAAAAATCGTTTTAGCAATTTTGGTAAAATTAAGAAACCGTTTTGGCAACCTTGGCATCATTAAGAAAAAAAATCGTTTTTTAGCAACCTTAGTAAAATTAAGAAACCGTTTTGGCAACCTTGGCATCATTAAGAAAAA